TCCTGCTGACCGCCCCTTGGTTTTCCTGCACATCCTCTGTAGCAAGGATGAACCACAGCAGAACTACGGAGACGCAAACTGTGAATGTGTCCAGTCACACCCTGGCAAATGGAGAGCGTGAGCTCACAGAGTTAGGCCAGTCACAACGCCTTCCTAACCTGGGAGCGGGTGACAGGCCCCGAACACACCCGAGGCTCTCCTCGTATTGTCAGGGCCTGCCCGCACAGAGCCATCGACCTGGTGCTCTGAACCGTTCACAGGGCGCTGAACTGCAATCGCTTCCTCTCCTCCCGGTTCCCGGAACACCAACTTTTAAATTCATGCCAGTTCGATTGGAACAGTAGCAAATTTCATGGAGTAGCTAAAAAGAAGAGCAACAGCTGGTACCTCAGCATTAATAATATAACAAAGGAGGAAGAGAGAAACTTTTCATTAGTTACTTTTTGATGTCAATTTATTATTTATCCCTTCGCCCATATTCAAACAGGCATGCAGTCATAAAACATTCAGAAAGACCCTCTGAAACACGCGTCTGTTTCACCTCCGTTCCTTTTCAGAAACCTGGAAAGCAGGTGCCCTGGCATTGCTAATATAGCGGTTAAAAAAATACTGGCTGTATCGAAAATATTGCTGGAGGATCGTGACTTAGAGTGTAGCTTAAATTTTACGAGAGGCCAGTAGGCACGCAGGCTACTACGGTTTGTAAGGGAACATTGCATGTAAACGAGTAAAGCGCCGTTTCCCGATTTCCGACTCCTCAGTGAGTACTGTGCTGTTTGAAACGACAAAGCCCACTGTTCAGTAATTAGCATCTTGTCAGATCTTTCCAATCAACACCAGCACGCTGCACCTGGTCCTAGTTAAAAAATACATGGTGAGCAATTCTGATCCGACCCCCGGGGGCCTGCCGTGCTCAGAACCAACCTGCCTGCGTGCAATAATTACCATCCACCCAGAATAAGGCTTCTTCATCCCGCAGTTCAGAGAGATTTCGTCCAGTCCTAAATGACCTGTCATAGCCTTTAAACTTCGCTGATAAATGTCTATCCTCGCGATGCAGGCATTTCCTTTTCCCCAAAGAAGGACTCTCTTCCTGGAACAGAAGACTCCTCGGATAGAAAATCATTGTAGAAGGAAAACAAATAAATGGAAAAGTGCAAAACAAAGCAAACCGGAAACGCTGCAGCCCCCTCCCGCCAGGAGCTGTGTGGAGAGCCTGGCGGCCCCTCCCTAGCTGGCCTTGCCCTCCTGGCCCTGGGGGCCTTTGCCTGTCGGGGGGCCGTCCTTGCTGTAGAGGTTGTGCTCCTTGATGTAGGCGATGACTGCATCAGGGAGCAGGTACTTCACGCTCTGCCCCTGGCTCAAGGCCCGCCTGATGTACGTGGCGCTGATCTCGTTCTGCACGGGCTCCCGGGCCAGGTGGATGTTGTGCTGGTACCTCCGCAGGATGGGGGATTCCGAGATGTACCCCTTGGGGTCGTGACCCGCCCGGCCCACGCACACCAAGCCAAACTTCTCCACTATCTCCTGGATGTGTGCGTCTTCCCAGAGGTTCGGGGTCTGGAAGGTCTTCAAGACGTCCGCTCCGCAGAGGAGCTTCAGCTCAGGCACAGCTGAAAAGACAAGGGTGGGCCCAGCCACGTTACAGGGGTGGTCGCGGGGAAGAACGGCAGGCTCGTGTGGGAATTCACTGAGAACTCGGTCTCTCCGTGTTAGTGACTGAGACAGAAAACGCAGGGAGACGAATCTGACGCTATTTCAGGGTATACAGTTGTAAGTAATCATTTAATCAATATTGCTTTTGTTTAACATTGGCAAAGTGCCAAGTCAAACAGAAGAGGTTTTTTTTTTGGTTTTGTTTTGTTTTTCAGTGTCATAAGTTGCTTTTGTTTAACATTGGCAAAGTGCCAATTCAAACAGAAGAGTTTTTTTTGGTTTTGTTTTGTTTTTCAGTGTCATAAGGGAAGTCTGTCATAAACTGTGTCTGCTGTGGACCAGACAGAGACCGAGCGCTCTAATGCTGGCCTTGCTGCGGCCCACATCCTGTTTTCTGAGGGAGGGAAGGCTATTAAGCCCTCTGGAGCCAGCAGGTGGTGTGGTGGTTAAGGGTGCTGGACTCCCACATGGCTGAGTGTGGTTCGAGTCCCAGACCTGGTGGCTTGCTTTCTCACTTTCTCTCTCTCTCTCTCAATTGCTCTGTCCCTCTCTGGTCAAATTAAATTAATTAATTAAATTAAAAAAAAAAAAAGCCCTGAGACCAAGACTGTCGACCTTGGACAAGCCGCGCCCTGCATGAAGTCTACTCCAGCCTGAGTGTTACCGGCACTTTCAAATACAATCTCATCATAAAGATTAGGGCAACCTTAAGGTCTCCAAAACCCCAGCTTCTCATTTCAGGTTCCCATAAAACAAAGCTCTTGAACAACTGATTGAGGTGGACAATCCTTTGGAATTTGTTCTAACAAAATGCTGACTGTGGTGATAAACATAGTATCTACAACGTATTGGGTACTTACCAAGGCGGTTTTACTAAGGCTCATGCGTGTATAGGGCCATTCGAGGCCCAGAATTCGTTATGAGGGAAGTGCAGAGCCCATTTTGCAGAGTGGTGGAGCTAAAGCACAGAGTGGCCAGTGACTTGCCTGAGGTCACTCAGCTGGGCAGAGAATTCACTGATGAGCCTCTAGAAGGGGCATTAGTAAGTGCTGGGCTCTGCTGCCGCCTGCTGGTGGGAATCTGTATGTGCATAGGACCGAGAAGCCCTTCCTGGAGTTCTGGGACCAGACTGACTTCCCTGGCACTGTCCTTCTAGAGTGGGCTAATCTGAAAAGGGGAAAACAAACAAACAAACAACAACAACAACAAAAAACAAGTCGACACTAGAAGCAAGCTGCGGGATCTCTGATCTCTCCAGAAGCTGATTCCAGCAGAGGCCGGCTCCTAGGGCGCTGGCATCTCCCGGTCACCAGCATGCCTGCTAGGAGGGCCTCAGGGCTGGCACAGGCAGGGAACCTCGTGTACACAGCCAGCCCCGCTCCTCGCCTGCAGACCTTTCAAAGGCGCTGGACGTGGACCCCAGAGATGGGTTTACAAAGGGGCTCTGGACCGTCTGTGGAGGGAAAGGGAGAGGCCACAGGTGTCACAGAGAAGTCTGTGCTCTGCCCTCGTGGGTTCACGCTGACCTCTTCTCCTCTGGGCCTCAGTTTCCCCATCCGTGAGACAATGGGCACTGGGTTCGTTTAAAGCCACAGATATAATGACAAAAAACACGCTCTTAAAGACTCTAGCAGGATAATGTTAGCGTAGTAAGTGATATTCAAACACCCCTTTATCCACTCCTGTGTGAGTTCTGCTGGTCACAAACTTGATTCGAAATCTGGTTCTGCCATTCAATAGCTCATCTTGCGATCTCAATTTTAAAATGAGGATATCAATATCCTTACTTTATTTTGGACTTGGATTTTATTAATGTAAAGTACTTAGAACAGCGCTTGGCACAGAGCAAGTTTGGTATGTGCCCTATAGCAAAAACCTCTAAAAAAAAAAAGCGTGTTCAGCAACGTCCCTTCTCATTAATCAGGGCCAGTCTCACTGCTGACACGTCAGTGTGGGTTCGAACCGTTCTGCATCTGCGAGCTTTTGCTCTAGTTCCTTACTATCGAGCTACTGTCGTACAGAAGAGACCAGAGTCTGTCTTTCTAACAGCTGGTTTCCATGTGGCCTTCCTGTGGGGGAGGTTAAGTGATGCACATTTAATTCCATGTCCTCCTGGGGCACATCCCCTCTGTTCCCACAGGTCAGAGAACAGAGAAGACACCCATTATTCTTCCGGTGGATTTCTGTGGGGACAACTTCTACATATCAGCTTTAGAATTAACCAACGTTTGATTCATTAACAATGACAGCAAGCCTTGCCTAGAGGGGACAGGTGCCCCGATGCCCCTCACCCCCCAAATCAAAGTCGTCTCTGGGAGGCTGGTGGTGACAGCTTAACTGTCACAGGAACATGTGCCCTAGGCCCACGCAGGGCAGTCCTGTGTTCAGGCCGCACAGAGAGTTCACATCTCCCTTTCAAATCCACTCACTTCACCACTTACATTTTCAGACTGGGTGACTCTGCCCAAGTGTGTCTAAGATGCAGTATAAAGGCGGCTATTAGGACTGTCCTAACAGTGACGTGGTGACATACACAGGATGTCCGGGGCGTTCTGGGGCAGTGTGTTCTGCTGAGGAGCCATGGGCTCTGAAAAGCAGATAGAGCTGAAACGAACATGAACTATGATGAAAGTGCCACCAGGACCTTTAACTCTGAGCGTCAGGCTGCCTCACCGCAAAGATATCAAAGAGCACCCATCTTGGGTTTGAATTTTGGGTCTTCTGGGACCCTGGGGAAGTTATTTAAGCCATGGGCCTATTTCTTGAGCTGTAACATGGGGGCAGTGAAACCTCCGGAAGTTATGGGCGTTGAATAATGCAGAGTAGGCAATGCAGATTTCCTGCCTGGCACAGGGCATCGATGTGGTCTAACAGTGAAGCCTGGCATGGAGCCCCGCAGACACACTCAGATGTGCAGGACTTGTGGGTCTAAACAGCAGGGCCCACGACATGGAGCAGGCCGGGCATCTAATGGGCAGCACCCGCCTAACCACCCAGGGCTGCCTTGGAAGAGCCCATGTAAAGCGGAAACAGGCCAAGTGCCTGCTCAGTTCCTACGGGCAGGGAGTCCTCTGAGCACTGCAGAGGGGGTTCAGCCCCGTCAGCCAAGGGTGGGGAACCCTCACGGAAGTCAGAGTCGGCCGTTGTGGGGCTGGAAGGGTCGCCCACCCCCAAGTGTCACTCGAGCAGCCTGTAATGCAGCCATCCAGAAGGCTCTGGTGAGCCTAGGAGGACTGCAGATCGTGGAAGTGATGGCAATGCAGGGCTTGGGGAGCCGGAAGGCCGTCAGCCTGTGATCCGCAACCCCAGAGCACAGCGTCACATACTAAAACGCACAGCGCACAAACAGGCCTTTAGAAATGTGTCACTAGTAACTGCGAGCCATCTCATCAGAAGCCAAGCTTAGGCGGAGAAAAACTGCACATTTGTTCTTCTTTTAAAATAATTTGGTGTAGGGTGTGTGTGCTTGCCAAATAGAGACAGAGAGACAGAGAGAGAGAGAGGGTGAGAAAGCAGTCCCCGGGGGATGACCACGCCACAGTCCTTTCTCCTCCATTCCCCTGCACATGTGCCTGGCGTGTTTTCCAAGCTGCCGGGTCTGGGACTCGAACTGCGCTGTTGGCCAAGTGGGATCCAGATGCTATAACCACCAATTGGCCCCCACCTTTCTTTTTAAAAATCATTCTAGTTTTTTTTTCCTCTCCTTTCTGATTACAAACATAAAATCTGTGTTTGTTAAGGAACATATGGAAGATATGTAAGTATTTAAAGTAAATACCCAAACCTTTCAAAATTCAGGTGTATTTCCTCAGTCTTTTCTATCCATGCAGTCATGCAAGTAGGCGAAACCTTTTCTGTAGACGTCTGTCCTGCGTATACAGTGTGACTATTTACACACTTCTTTCATCTTAAACATCGAATTTGCTTATTTTCTGCCACTATAAAAATGCCCATGGTAAGCATCTTTCTGCATACATCTTTGTCCCAATTTCTAATTATTTTAGCTGGATTTCTAGAAGGGGAATTTATCAAGCAAAGGGCATGAAGATTTTTAAAGCCTCTGATATATTTCGGTAAACTGAAAAGACTTAGAATCACTCCGTGTAAACTCCCTTTTTAAGGAGTTACTTTAGAAAAGAATGAGATGAGTAAGATTGCAAGGAGCAAACTCGGCATTGCAGGGCCAGTAACCCCTAGAAAATAAATCCCAGAAGAACGCTGGGTGGGACTGGGCATGGACGGAACCGAATTAACGAGAGCACCTGGCGTCGGATTCACAGGGAGGGTGGCTTCTGAACTGGGCCCACAGCACAGATAGGTAGGTTTTCAACAAAGGAGCCAAGAAGGGAAAAGGAGGGTGGAGCGGGCCAAGCAAACGGCGGAGACAGGGATTCTAGAAGCATCTGCAGAGCGGCGGGACATGAGAGGCTGGGAGCTGCAGCGTGGTAGCCCTTCCACATCACTGGCTGCTTCCTGCCTCGGGGTGCCACCATCCTCTGGCGGCGCGGAGGGCCCACACTTACACGGTTTCCTGCCTTTGTGCTCCCGCAACCTCGATCAACTACGCATTCTACAAATCCCAGGGCAGGTGTCTCCTCTTCCATGTCTGCGCTCACCTCCACTCGGCCCGTTTCTGGCCCAGGGCAGGTGCTGGGGCTGGCTGGCTGTGGCCTCAGCCTGTGCCCACGGCCGGGCCCAGGCAGGCACTCAGGAGGTCTGTGGAGCCCTTTCAGGAGTGCTGCTGGGTCAGAGACGATGCAAAGTGAAAGCGGAGGCTGAGAGTGGATGCTGGCACCATGCTAACGGGAGGTGGAGCGAGGAGTGCACACGGGTAACAGAGGGCACGGGGGCCAGAGGGACTCGATCTACGTTATGTGAGCTGATCATTCAGAAGACACTGCAGCTCCTTAGGTTCTCACTCAAGGGCACAGTTCCAGAAACTGGCTGGAAAGCCACTCCCCAGAGTGTTGACGAGACATTCAGATCCCAGGACCTCATGCCCACTTAGGTGGTCCGCAGAGGCCTGGGAAACCGTGTTTCTAACAGCTCCACAGTTGATTCTGCTGTGAGCGAGCCTTTCAACAGCACCTGAGGCTGCCGCGTGGGACTTTCAGAGCCTGGTGGGATTTCCAAGTCCTTTTACAGGAGCGTTTCCCGATCATGTTCTGGGGAGCACTAGTTCTGAAAAATGCTAACAGGCATTTTTTTTTTTTTAAAGAGTCTCATGATTAAAAGTAATTAAGAATGGCTACAAGCTATTTCTCTTTTGTGCAGTCACAATGCACATGGACAGAGAAAAGGCTCTGAAAAGTCCTGTGAGGGGGACCAGCAGTTAGTGTAATGGCTATGTCACTGGATTCCTATGTAGTCAACCACGGTTTGAGTCCGGGACCCGGTGGCTTAAACTCACGCCAGGCACGTGTGCTTGCGTGCCCAAGATCCTGAGAGGAGAATGGAGGAGAAGGGATTATGGTGTGGCCATCCCCCTGGGGGGTGATTTCTTGCTTTCTGTCTCTCAAAACCTCTCCAAAAAATAAAAAAATAAAGTCCTGTGAGGTGTGTCTAACCTGGCACTGCGCTGAACCCTTCTGATCTGGTAGTGGTGTTCCTTCAACCAAAGTTGGGAGACCCTGCAGTAGAAGATGCTGTAGACAGGCCTGCTGGAATTGTGGCCCAGTAAATTCCTGGCTCACATCACACCCTGCCCTCCGCATCACATGTGTCTCTGCATATTTGCACGCAAAGGCAATGCATTGCCCCAGGACACCAGGGCTGCTTCTACTCCGAAACCACAGCCAGCAGGTACTCGCCAAACACCAGGTCTCAGTGCAGACACTGACAGCGTGGAAACCCAGGGTCACACGTTAGGAGGATGACTGAGTTCTAAAAGTAGGCTGCTTCTTTATAAACCATGGAGTAACACTGCTGTAGAACATTGTTCATGTTTTACAGCTTCATGGTTTGTATTCAAAAAGGCCATCCCTTAAGAAGAACCACAGCGTCACTCACCAGCATATCCCCATGTGGCCCTGACAATAAACCGTGTTATAAGCACAAGTCAGAAAATTGCAGCGTGCGCTGGAAACCAGCAGTTAGTGTAATGGCTATGTCGCTGGACTCCCACGTAGTCGACCGTGGTTCGCGTCCCGGACCCGGTGGCTTAAAACTCACGCTGGGCGCATGTGCATGTGTGCCCAAGATCCCGAGAGGAGAATGGAGGAGAAGGGATTGCGGCATGACCATTCCCTCTGGGGGGTGATTTCTCGCTTTCTGTCTCTCTGTCTCTCTCTCTGTCTGTCTGGCGAGCGCACACGCCCTATAGCGAAAACCTCTCCAAGAAAAAAAAAAGAAAGAAAATTCCAGCGTGGGCAATGAACAATTTACTCGGGGTGTTGGCACATTGTCTAATTTGATCTTTTGACCTTGGAAGGATCATTCCAACCAGGCGAGCTTCTAATTCCTTCCTTGTAGCTAGAGAGAGCTATAGAGAAGCCCCCATCAGTTCTCACGTGAATCCCTGACTTCTCACTCCCTACAGGCCAGAGGGGAGCACCCACCTGCGGGGGGTGGGGACAGCGCCTTGTCGTGGTCCGGGCCTTCCGTCTGTGGCAGAGATCTGAGCAGCTCGCCATGGTGATGCCTGCGGCGCGAACACAGGGGCTCAGGGCGGGCCCGTCCTCCAGCCCCGGAAGCCACACAGGGTTCTCACCCCCTGGAGTCTCCACCTGCTCCTATCCATTCCATAGATATTTGTGGAGGGCCTACTATGTGCCAGGCACAGTGCCCAGTACCCAGAGGACCCATCTGGGTCCTCTAGAGAACCTTGTCCAAGACAGCTCACTACCCTTGGCACAGTCCGGGTGAAAGTGAGGAAGTTAGCATATTTCCATGCCTTTAACATTTTCCTCAGTATTTCTCACTTAAAAAAGGAAAGGAGTTGGGACCAGCAGATGATGTCATTGTTATGTCGCTGAACTCCTAGTAGTCAACCACAGTTTGAGTCCTTGGACCTGGCGGCTTGAAATTCACGCTTGGTGTGCGTGCCCAAAATCCTGAAAGGAGAATGAAGGAAAAGGGAGTGTGGCATGGCCATTCTCCCTGGGGGGTGATTTCTCGCTTTCTGTCTCTCTGGCGAGTACAGGCGCCATATAGCAAAAATCTCACTCAAAAACAAACACACAAAACCCAAAAAAAAGGTCAGTGTTCAGCAGGGGCTAAGGCCAGGGGTTACCTGCATTCAGGACGCAGACATGTCTGTGTAAAGCAGGGTGAACAGCACAGGTTTTTTGAAGGGAAGTGAGCTATACACACTAAGCGCCAGCACGGGACATGCTCTGTAGCTAGCTCTCAAAAGGGACACTCGCTCTTATTAGAGCCAGGGTTCTAGAGCGCAGTGGGTGATGGCTCACAGCCGGGGCTCGGAACCCGATGGCCTGGGTTGAACCGCAGCTTCTCTGCCACCTGGCCCTGTGACCCTGAGTGAGTGGTTTCGGGTCCCTCTGTGGATGGTTCTGCATGTGCCAACGAGGGATGATGGCGGTGCCCACCTCTGCAGGGTGGCTATGAAGACGAGAGGAGCGGGCACACACAGAGGGCACCGAGCAGGTCCAGTGCGATCAGGTGTGCCAATTTGGCATGGCCGGCTGTTAGCAACCCAGCTTCTGTCAATCAAGAGGTACCTGTGCCCCGGTGCCACCTCCTTCTTCTTCTTTTTAAAATCAAACGCAGGTAATCACTGCACACCCTTTCTTGTACCAGTTTGATCTTTCATCTTCCACTTACTAGCATTTACTAGAGCTTTACCCGGGAGACAGTGGTGCCCGGGGAAAAAGCGCATGCTTTGCAGCCAGACCAAGTGGGGCAGGGTGAGCTCTCCGGCTGGTATGACCCTGGAGGACTCACTGACCCTCAGAGCCTCACTGACTTCACCTGTTCACTGGTCGTCAAAGTTAACACTGGCCTTGTCTACACTGTGTCACAGGACCAGCAATGAGAAAGTGCTTCTATCCTGCCGGATGCTGGTGATTGTGATCCTGGAGAGGGGCACGGTGTGAAGGCTAATAAAGGTCTAGAATTAGACTGCCTGGGTTGGGATTCTGGTTCCAACCAGTAGCTCTGGAATGCTGGTTTTTTCAAACCACCCGCCTCCAGCTTCCTGACCTCTAGAACAGGGGTAGTAACAACAGTGCCTGGCTCAGGGAGCTCCTGTAAGGAGTGACCAAAAAGCTCAGAAGACAGAAAGCGCCCAGGACACGCCAGCTGTTATTACCACTATGCTCATCACGCTCAGTGGGTCTCCCCACCAGCCTGGGAACGGGGCGCCCCTGAATCCATCTGTGCATTCTTAGCACCAAGGAACATGTTCACCTAACGTCTGTGGAACTCAAGAATGGTGGCAGAAGCACAGGGGGTACATCTCACCCGGGTCCAAATCCCTTCCTGATTTTCTCAGAGACTCGGCTGAGGATTTTGTCTCTGAGGCCTCCCTCCTGGGTTGGTCTGGGCTCTCCCATCAGACTGAAGCAGCCTCCACTTTCTACCCATAGAACTTTGGATATTTTATGAGCCTGTCATAACCTCCACTTCCTTATTTGTAAAGTGGAGTTTGACCCACCCACTTCTCAGAGGGGCCGAGCTAACTAAATATGATTTACTTAAAGTGAGAGAATCCGGCACGCAGGGCAGGTGATTCGTAGAAGGTGGTAACTGCCACTTCGCTGCCTTGCAGCTCCTCTTCTGGTGGACCCGACTTTGACTATTAGGGTCTCGGAACCTCGTGCAAATGATTGCTTTCAGGACCAATGCATTTCCCGCTGCTTCTAAAGGGCAGTGGCCATTGCTCTGTAGTTCTCTGGGTGGGCCCGGCCCTGGCCTACGGATCACCCCCTGGGACCATTTTCTCTGTCTGCTGGTCTCCAGGGAAGCCCCAGGAAGGGCAACCGTGGGAGGAGCAATCAGCATCTCAGTTTTCAACTTGCAGGTTGCTGATTTTGAAGGCGGCTTCAGAGCTGAATAGACTGTTGCTTATTTGCTGTGTGACTGTGACTAGGTTAGCCTCTGAGCCTCGGTTTCTTCATCTGTTAAATGAGGACAACATCAGGTTGTGTTAGCAAAGGGTACAGGGGCTGGGACCAGCAGATGGCATATTGGATATGTCGCTGGACTCCCATGTAGTCGACCACGGTTTGAATCCTGGACCTGGAGGCTTAAACTCATGCCGGGTGCGTGTGCGTGCGTGCCCAAGATCCCGAGAGGAGAATGGAGAAGGGATTGCGGTGTGTCCATCCCCCCTGGGGCGGGGGGTGATTTCTTGCTTTCTGTCTGTTTCTCTCTCTGTCTTTCTGGCGAGCACACGCACCCTATAGCAAAAGCCTCTTCAAAAAGAAATGACCTAATGCTCTAAAGGTATGAAAGTTGGCTTAGATCAAAACAATTACACCTGGGGAACCAGCAGTTAGCGTAATGGCTATGTCGCTGGACTCCCACATAGTCGACCGCGGTTCGTGGCCCGGACCCGGTGGCTTGAAACTCACGCCGGGCGCGTGTGCGTGCGTGCCCAAGATCCCGAGAGGAGAATGGAGGAGAAGGGATTGCGGCGTGACCATCCCTCCGGGGGGTGATTTCTCGCTTTCTGTCTCTATGTCTCTCTCTGTCTGGCGAGCGCACGCGCCCTACAGTGAAAATCTCTCCAAAAAAAAAACAAAAAACAAACAATTACACCTGAAGAAAAGAAAAAGAATCCTCAATGGCCCCACAGTGAATAACACTGTAGCGATGTTTGTACTATTTCACTACGTGAAATTCACCAGGGACCCCACTGAGGCGACAATGGAGCAAAAGATGAGGTGGTTTCTATTATGCTTCTAAACCCACTCGACTTCACAATTTTAACCAGAATTTTTATCTTTAAAAAAAAAAAAATCACTTTTGGGGCTGGTTCTGTGGCTAGGTAGTTAAGGTACTTTGATCCACATGACTAACTACGTGGTTTGAGTCCCGGACCCGGCAGCTGGAGAAGCGCACAGGTGTGCACATGCCACAGATGCCGGCAGGATGGAGAGGTGGGGGAGGAGGATTGTGGCACGGCCACGCCCCACGGGGCTGTGCTTTCTCCCTTCTTTCTCTCTCTAGGGAAAAAAAAAAAGATCTGCTTTTAATAATTTTAGGAGAATCGTAGTAATCCAACACATTTTCCAATGCCATTGATAGATTTTGGAGATGAGGCTCACTCCGAATAATGAAAATACTCATAATCTCTGCTGACTATTTATATTAGTGATCTGAGAGCTTGGTGTACAAAATAATCCAGGGACCTTGATAAAAATAGCCATGTATTTAAAAGCATGACTTTAAAATAAAATAAAATACAATGGTGTATTTTGAAAAAGAATGATTTTATCTATTATTATTAGTTTTCAATTTGACCAGACAGAGACACAGAGAGTGAAAGAGGCAAAGTGAGAAGGCAAGCTGCTGGGCTGGGACTTGAACTACAGGTGCCATGAAGGAGCTCAGCACCTTTACCACACCACCTGCCAGTCCCACGGTGCTGTATTTTAAACATGGCTATTTTTTTTTTTTTTTAGAGGTTTTCGCTATAGGGCGCGTGCGCTCGCCAGACAGACAGAGAGAGACATAGAGACAGAAAGCAAGAAATCACCCCCCAGGGGGGATGGCCACGCCACAATCCCTTCTCCTCCATTCTCCTCTCGGGATCTTGGGCACGCACACACACGTGCCTGGCGTGAGTTTTAAGCCACCGGGTCCTGGACGCAAACCGCGGTCGACTATGTGGAAGTCCAGCGACATAGCCATTACGCTAACTGCTGGTTCCCAACATGGCTATTTTTATACAGGTCTCCAGAGTATTTATTCTGTGCCCCAAGATCATATACTGCTAGTACAAACAGTTAACCCAGACTAAGGTTCTTTTCACTATTTAGAGTGAGGTTCATCCCAAAATGTATCAATTGCATTAGAAAATGTGGTCAATTACTAAGATTTTCCTAAAATAATAAAAAATGGTTCTTTTCTTTTTTTTTAACAAGCTGAGTGATGTATAATGATTGGATATAAAAAAATAAGATAAAGCTTTTTTTTAAAAAAGTTTTTTAAAAGTGTATTTTCAAGTTTTGTTTTAAAATTAATGCCAAAAAGAAAAAGCACTACAATTTGTAAACTTAATTATATGTCTTGTATCTTATTAGCTTAGTAGTTGGAACCACTTGGTCTTTAGGTACGAGACTGCTGGTATGGCACCAAGAAAAAAATGTTCGTGTATAAGACTGTACATTAAAAAAACGGCAATATGCAATAAAGAGATAAACTCATAAAAAAAAATAGCTCTGCTAAAAGCCCTATGCCGAGAGGGGCGTTGTGTCTATGAAAGAATTTTTAAATGTTTCCCAAGTGAAACCAGGGTTTTCTGCAGCCAGGGTCGACACTGCCGGTTTAGATGGATCTCAGTATTTATCCTAAGCCTAACTCGCATACTTACTAACTGAGGCCATGGGGATCAGCTTCGGCCACCTACTAAAATCACCAAGGAGCTCTTAAAAATGTCAGTGCCTTACCCTGGGCATCCTGGTCTCTGGGGTGAGACTCACACACCGGCACCTTTAAAAACTCTCTAGGTAACCCAATGTGCAGCCAGCACTGAGAAACACGGGACTAAAAGAAGTAGGAAAACAATTTAAAAGAAGAAAAAGAATGTATTCAGTAGGATCACTGGTCACACCTGCATTTTGTAGTAGAAAAACTCCTAACCTTAAATGGTACCATGGTCAATTCCTATTTATTCATGAATGGCTTATTTGTTTTGAGGCCAAATTATGGGCCAGCTTTAGGGATGCAGAGACGGTAGCTGACAGTATTAAGCACCTACCATAAACAAGGTGTTTTGCATACACATCCCATTTAATTCAGTGTCCTCCTGAAGTAGGCGATGCCCATTCCATTCTATTAGGGGAGGAACTGAGGCCCAGGGAGGCTAAATCACAAGTCATGCTGCTAGTGGATTTGGCTCTAAAACCTGGTCCTAGGCCATACTGTTTCACACGGGGTGGAAGAGGAAGCCATTGTTTCTAACTTAAATGATTCATGGAATTACCTATTGTCTTGTCTCTATTCTCTTCTATCAGCCTAGATAAGTGAGAGGTGATTGTATGACTCACTTGAAGAGGATGATCCAGGGGTAAATTTATTCCTTATGTAATTTTCAATATAGGAGTCTTTGTTTATACCAGTAGGTGGTTTAAAAATAAAAAGAAGCAGTTTCATGACAGTTACTTCGAATGTGCTCTCCTTCCCATTTGGCAGCAGGTCTCTGAAGCAGCGCTGTGGCTTCTGAACCCTGCTAGCTGGTTCTTGCCCCAGTAGAAGGAAATCAAGAATGAGTCCGTGAGAATCCAGGCACACGAGTGCCCAGGACCTGAGACTGGCTGCAGTCGAGAGTGGATTGTAGGACTGAGACTCTTGTCGGGGGTGCTGTCTCTGTCATTTTTCTCATGGAATAAATAAACAAATCAATACATTAACTTAAAAAAAAGAGAGAGAATTGGGATATGGAAACTAAATGTTTACTTTTACTGAAAAGCTAAACATACATTCTTCTCCCAAGTGACTTAGAAGATAAATGAAAATGAAAATCATTTCACAGTCAGACATGACTACAGGCCTGCCAATTGTTCAGCCCTGTCTCCTGCCTCCCATTCTCTGCCAGTCCTGGTGCTTCCAACAGGTAAGTGACAGAGCTCACAACGTGCCACCCTTCCCAGTAGGGCTGGCTCATCCTCAGAGATGAGGCAGCACGCCTCATGGTCCGCCCAGCAGCCAGAACAGTGGGACTTTCTGCTTCTCTGGAAAACTCCCAGGAAAGGTTCTGAACACAAGTCAGTGATCCCTTGTCCTGATGCACAGAGATGGTCTGGGGGTTTTTAAACAGCAGTGCTACTAATTCAGCTACTAGCTGAACACTAATAGCCAAAGAAAAAAAAATTCTGAGAACTATTTCTAGATTTATAATCTTTTTGTTTTCTATTTTACATAAAAGTCTGGATTTATAAAATGCAGGATTTGAATAATTAGGAAAGATGGTTTATTATGGAGATATAGTTTTCAACCTAGTCAATGATGCAAAAAATAAAAAGGTCCTTCTTACCGAATATTATTATGTGGTTCTGGATCAGGAAAGCTATTTACATTTAAAAAATCCTCCGTGGGTTTTATTGTCCTCATTTTTCAAGTGAGAAATGTGCCTCAGAGAAGTTAAATCACTTGCCTAAAGTCACACTGCTACTAAGTGCCGGTGCTCGGGCCCTGTGCTAAAGCCCCTGAAATGAGATCGAGTGTTTCCACAATGTGCCTCTTGAAGGAAAGTAGTTTGTATTTTTAAAAATTGTTTTGGCTCAGAGACCTCTCTGATAACATGACTCTGGTCTCTCTCTCCCAAGAAGTAAAGCTTCTTGGGGTCCCGATACAGCGGTGTACACAGCTAAGAAGCTGTGCCTTACAGGCTGGGACCACATGGGAGACCTGGGTTTGATTTCCTGTCCATCCTAAAGGCTGAGCATGGTGGCCGAGCCAGTCTTCCCAGTGACTAGGGAGGCTGTGGCAGGAGGATCCCGAGCAGAGATCAAGGCTGGCCTGGACAATGCAATGAAGACCTGTCTAAAAAAGAGCAGGGCATGATGGTGTGCACCTGGGACCACACACGCACACACACACACACACACACACGCACACACGCATGCACCTGCAATGCTATTTGGATCTTGACTGAGAAAGCCTGGCTGAAGTCATGCTTAACACTGTGTCCCCACCTCTCACCGTGAGGACTCTGGAGACATCTCCCGTGGTCCCCGGTAACGACAGGAGGGCAAGACCACTGTTACCTCAGCACCTTTACCGTCTCCATCCACTGCGCCTGCTCACTCTCCCAGGGGTCCACCCGGATCCAGTCAGAAGTCTGCAGAGCCAGCCGGGCCATGGCCACTCGGTGGTGGGAAGCCGCGAGGTCTTTCTTCCCGTAGCTGTCATTGACAGGGGAGATGATGCCCTCGATCACCTGGTACGTTCCTAGGCAGAGGAGAGCACCGAGTTGCACGCAGGCCGATGCTCGCAGCCTGGCTTCGGATGGAGCCGTGCACCTGGGCGCCTCACCCAGGCAGAGCAGGCTGGGCAGTCCCTGCTGCATGGGCAGGAGTGAGGGCTATCTCTGACCCTGCCTCTCCTCCAGCCTTCTACAACTTCAGGTAGCACTCCTGCTGGGAGGGTAGGTTCAGGCAAGGCTTTCACACAGGAACGTGGACAGTTAGGGTTGAGTTTGTTTGAGGAACATCTGGGCTTGCCCCAGCATGGGACTTAATGGGCACTGTGGTCCTCTAGCGATGCATGAGACAGCACTTACATGCAGCGTCCCAGCCCAAAGAGGGGGAGTGGAGGATGAGAGATGAAGGAACGGACATGGCGTAGCATGAACCAGGTTTGCTGGGTGATGGGCTGCACAATAGAGACCGCTCAGGCCCACCTACTTTGGAGGAAAGCACTTCTAATGGCCCGGGAGGCCTCCTTTGAGAAAGATGGGCACTGTGCTGATCCAATGGAAACTGCTGAGCCGCCGGAATTTACTGAATGAGATAAACATAATTATCACGAAGCCGGGGGAGTTGTTATTGCAGCCTACCTTAGCTGATGCTTACTTTGAGTGCTTCTGTAATAAGTCAACATTGAATTTTTTTCAAATGTTTTCCTATAACTCTTGAAATGATCAAGTGTTTTTTTTTTTTTTTTTTTTTTTTAGTCAGTTAATATAGTGGGTTGCATTGATTACTTTTCTAATCTTAAACTAACATTGCATTCATGAGATAAACCTGATTTGGCGTGTGTGCATGTGTATGTATAATATTACATACTCATAATAATTTATGTACTGGTGGGTAACTTTGCTGGGTTTTTTTGGAAGCAAGATGAGATGCTTGTAATCTTCCTCTTTCTTACTGCCCTGATCGGGTGTTAGTATCGTGGTTATGCCAACCTCATAAAAAGTGCTGAGGAGTTCCATCTTTTTCTGCACTCAGAGAGCTTTTATGTGGGAATGAAATAACACTTTTTTCTTTCTTTTTTTTTTTTTTTGGAGAGGTTTTTGCTATAGGGTGCATGTGCTCGCCAGACAGACAGAGAGAGAGACATAGAGACAGAAAGCGAGAAATCACCCCCCAAGGGGGATGGCCATGCCGCAATCCCTTCTCCTCCATTCTGCTCTCGGGATCTTGGGCATGCACACACGCACATGTGCCTGGCGTGAGTTTTAAGCCACCGGGTCCGGGACGCGAACCATGGTTGACTACGTGGGAGTCCAGCGACATAGCCATTATGGTAACTGCTGGTCCTAAAATAACACTTTTTTCTTAAGTGCTTGATAGAACTCACCAGTGAAGTCTTATGAGACTCGAATTTAATTTGTGTGAAAACGTTCACTACTGACTTAATTCCTTTAATGGCTATTTTTCATTTCTTCATTATAATCTTTGCCAACTTACATTTTTCTGGGGTTTTGTCCTTTATATCTAAAATTTGAAATTTAGTGGCATAAGATTTGTCATCATAGTCTCTTATCTACTTAATGTCTGCACCGTCCTCGGTGATGTTCTTTTTCATTCCTAATATCAGTTGTTTTTCTTTCTTTTTTCTTGCACGGTATTGCTGGAGGTTTGTCATTTTATTAGTTTTTCCGAAGAAACAACTTATGGCATATTGATTTTTCCCTACTGAGGTTTGTTTTCTGTTTCGCCAATTTCTGTTCTTATTGTTATTAATTCTATCTTTCTACTCTTACTGTTACTTTGCTGCTCTTTTTCTAACTTGGCTAACTAATTTGCAGTTTGTTTCTGACTATATGAAGTTCATGTGTAAAACTATAAAGCTTCTCTCTAAGCACATGCTACCTGCATTACACAAGTTTTAATATGTAGTATTTTCATGATCATTCAGTTCAAAGTATTTTCTAATTTCCCTTATGGATGTCATTTTGTCTCATGAGTTATTTTGATGTATTTTTCTTAGTTATCAAACACATTGTGATTCCTGGGAACCAGCAGTTAGCGTAATGGCTATGTCGCTGGATTCCCACGTAGTCGACCGCGGTTCGTGTCCCGGACCCGGTGGCTTAAACACATTGTGATTCTTTTAGCTGTCAGTTTTTACTGATTGCTAGCTTAGTTGCATTGCACCAGAAAATATACTCCCCATTGATTCACTCAGCTGGAATGTGTTGACACTTGTTTTATAGCCTGGCAGAAGGTCAGTTTTGGTAAATGTTCGATGTGTACGTAAAACAAATGTATGTTCTGTGGCTCTTGCTTTCTGTCCGTCCAGTCAAAATTACTAATTGTTTTGTTTAAATCTATGTTCTTACTGATTTTTTTTTTTTTTTTTTTGTCTGCTGGTTGTTATCAACTAAAATCTCCCATTATGGTTCTGAATTTCCCTATTTTCCCCTTTAGTTCTTTCAGCTTTTGTTTCTTTTCTTTAAAAGTTTATTTATTTCTTCAGTTAGAGGGAGAGAGAGGCAGAGGGAGAGAGAAAAGAAGAGGGAGAGGGAGATGAAGAGGGAGAGAGAGACGAGGAGGGAAGGAGGGAGGGAGGGAGAGAGAAAGAGAGAGAAAGAACCACCCTCTAGAGGTCTCACACTGTGACCCCTCCCCTCAGTCTTCCTGACCTCCCAGGATCATGAATGCACATGGCGGGCACACACAGATCAACTGGGGAATCAAACCTGCAGGATCCCACAGGGGTCAAGTATGCTTGAACAGCGTTACGTGCCACTGAGCCAACCCTCATATTTCTTACGGGCATGTTTTTAAGTGCCTGCATCCTTACAGCGCTTATGTATCTTTCTGGATATTGACCCTCTTTATCTCTGGTCATGTTTAAAGTCTCTGTCTGATCAATGACTTTATTTTTGGTCAGTACACACATTGCACATGTTTTTCTATTTCCTTTTTTGTCAATTGCCAGAGGGCAGCTGCACTTGTGAGAGAGAGCGAGAGCGAGACCAAGAGAGAGAAGCACCCTCCAATGGGGCACGGCCACCCTGCAATCCCTTCTCCTGTTTCTCCATCCTGTTGGCATTTTGGACATGCATGCATACATGCCTGGCATGTTTTTCGAACCTTTGGGGTCAGGATCTGAACTGTGCTCAAATGTGCATTCCAGTTCCCTTAACCTCTAGACTATGAGGCCAAACATGTTTTTACGGCCTTTCATTTCTATACTTTTGTCCCAGGTGAGACTTTTGTAAATAGCCTATAGCTATTTAGCTGAATTTAGAACTGGATAGCTTAATTAAAATTTTTTTGGGGGGGGTCAAGCCTGCCAATTAATGAGTTTAAATAATTATTTTATTTATTATTATTTTAAAATTTACTATAGGCTACATGTGCTCACCAGAGAGAGAGAGAAAGTAAGAAAGCAAATTCCTAGTTCTGGGACTCCAACTGTGGTTGGCTATGTGGGATCCAGTGCCTTAACCACCATGCCACCTGCCTGAGTTTTAACCGGAACATAGGTTCACTTACATTTAATGTGTATGCTGTTACATTTGAGTTTAAAGCCACCATTTTTTTCTTTTTTGCTACACATATTCTATATTTCTTTTATCCTTCTTTCATCATGCTTTGGAATTTATTACCTCACTTTTTTTCTCAGTCTAGAAGTTACATATGTCATCTTATATCCAAAGTAAATGCAGACCTTTACCCTCTTCTTCAATAACATGAGGACTTTAGAACTCTGTAATTCCATTTTCCACCCTCTCAGCTTACATGTTATCACTGCTATTCTATTTTTCTGTAATCGTTAGACTTTCTTATTATTTTAAATAACCAATGCTCATGTAAACTTACCTGCATAATTATCATTTTCTTTGTGTTTCAATTTTTACATATCAGACTTTTAATTATATTTATTTATTTTTATAAAGAGGTTTTTGCTATAGGGTATGTGCACTTGATGGAGAGAGAGAAAGAGACAGACAGAAAGTGAGAAATCATTTCCCGGGGGATGGCCATGCCACAACCCCTTTTCCTCCATTCTCCTTTTGGGATTTTGGGCATGCACACACACGTGCCCAGTGTGAGTTTTAAGTTGCCAGGTCCAGGACTTGAACTGTAGTTGACTATGTGGGAGTCCAATGATATAACCATTATGCCATCTGCTGGTCCCCATATCAAACTTTTATATGGGAATTATTCTCCTTCCTGACAAATACATACTGCAGAACTTCCTTAAGTTAGTGACTTCATTCTTGTAAGGCATTTTCAAGACATCACCCCAATCCTGAAAGACATTTCACTGTGTATAAAATAGTTGGTAGCAATCATTTTTCTTCAGTGCTCTGAAGTTATTGTTCCATTGTCTTCCATTGCTTCTGATGAAGAGACATCTATCAAATCTAACTGCCATTCCTATGAAGGTCATTTATATTTTTCTGGCATTTTAAAAACTTTGCTTACTTGGGGCCAATAGGTTTCATGGTGGTGAAGATGCTAGACTCTCATGTAACTGACAGTGGTTTGAGCCCTGGATCCAGTGGCTTGAAAATCATGTTGGGCTTGTGTACACGTGTGCCCAAAATCCTGAGAAGAATGGAAGAGAAGGTATTGTAGCATGGTCATCCCCCCTAGGGAGTGATTTCTCACTTTCCTTCTCTCTCTCTCCAGTGAGCACACTTGTCCTATGGCAAAACCCATAAAAAAAAAAAAAAAAGAAGTCGACATATGAGTTTTTAAAATTTATCCTGCTTTGGGGTCCTTTGGTCTTCTAAACCTGTAGGTTGATGTCTTTCATTAAATTTGAAAAGTCCTATCACTTCAGAAATTGCCTCTGTCTTCTTCCTTTCCCCTTTTGTCCAGATTTCTCATTGCATGTATGTAGTACATATGTGGCCTCCATGTCACTTATCTTCTCTTCTGAAATTAAAAACAAATAAAACAACAAAGCAAGAAACCCTCTTGCTCTAAGCTCCATTCTAAATAATTTCTTTTGATCTATATTCCAATTCGTGACTTCTATTTTTC